ATTAAATTAAATATTTAAGTATGACACCCCCTACTCCACAAACTAATATAGACATATAAATTAATGAAGATAAAAAAATGTTTGAAAATAAACTTTACTACTAAACAAAAGTTCGCAAATTCCTTTGGATAAATGTATCACATAATAACATTTCACCAAAAGAAAAAAAAAATGAAAATCTTAACTAAAGTCATGCTCAATTATCATACTTAATCATATTCATCAATTAGTACAAGAATCATCAAAGTTAATCACCATCAGTTACATAGAGAAGAGGCACTGACTATAGAAAGACACTTGGCAGCTACCATCTTGTGCCCAACGTAACGCACCCAGAAAGTACACATAGCTCTCGAGCCGACTCAAGCTGACGGGATAACCATAGGGAGCTCCCATGCCTGGTGAGGACTAATGCATGATCGACATGAGTGACAAAGAATAAACTTTGCTCTCAATCACAATGGTGCCTGATGAGCCCAAGGTAGTGCTCAATGTCGCATCAAAAAACCAAAATCTACAGAATAGGCAAATTTCATATTGCAAGTAAAAGTTATTAATTTACATACCCAAATGGTGAAACACTTTAAAAGGTCAAAATGCACTTGTCAAAGACACAAATTACACATAATTACATAGTCATACTATCTTCTCATACAATCGCAAAAATGGATTCCTTTAAGATTCCCACAAGAATGCATAAACAATCCAATATTCAGAAAATTTGTTTAATATTCAAAATTAACCACACATAACATTATATACATTAAATAGAGCTCTAAAGAATCACGTGAAACCCTAAACCCTAAATCTTAAACCCTAAACCCTAAACCCTAAACCCTAAACATAATACAAGTTACAATTTGGAACTTTCCCTCATATATAACGCATACGACAGAGAAGAGATTGAGGATCAATCTTATTACCAAATGTTATGTTAGACTCCTAATGAAATTAATCATTTCCCCTTATCTCAATAAATAGGATGCAAATCTTCTAAGAGCGAGTTTTCTTAGTTCTTCAAAACATATAACATGTAAGAAAGAAAAAGTAAGAAACGTAAAATATAAAATTAATGTAATTCCTTTAAAGATTTTTCAATCCAAATTCAACCTTTAGTTAGCCTAACAACTATGGTTATGTTTTCCTTCCCTTAAAATATTTAAAACTTATAAATAATATATAAATAACACATATTCTCTCAGCGCAATTATAAATAAAATACATAAAATAATTATAATAAAAATACATATTTTTCTTCAAACACTTATTATAACAAGATGCCAAAAAACACATATTTATTCAATAAATATTATATAAAAAATAATTTCACAAACATTTATTAAAAGTATTCATAATTTTTAAAAGTTTATAATTTTTTTCTAAAACTTATTTATTTAATTAAAATATCCTTTTAAGAATTTTAGAAATTTCGGGGTGTTACATTAAGTATTATTATTTTTTTTGAATGTTTTTTAGAAAAATATCTATATAATACCCGGAATAGTTATTACTACCTATATATTTGAAGATCAAAAAAATAAAATTTTAGGATTCTGAAAATAATTTTTGTTTGTAGTATTTTGTATAACCATAAAAAATATTTTATATTTAAAAACTGTATGCATAAATTAAGAAGAATATATTTTTATTGTTATCTTTATTTCTTATATTTATTTACAATATAAAATAATATGACGTATATATTTATAAGTTATTCAGAAAAAAATAAAATAATTTCTTAAATAAAACCACACAAATGAATCCCTAACATGTAACATGCAAGAATGTTTATGTGGATAATTAAGGAAAAGTGTTGAATGTAAAAGAAAGGCACATGCAGAGTGTTGAAAAAGTCAGATGTGAAAATAATAAAAAAGTAAAAGTCAAAACATTAATGGCATGACAACTTAGAGTTATTTATGTGTTTGAAAACAGATAGATTCATGAGGAGGTTTTGCAATGTGGTTATGTTTGAAGTTCAACCTTGAAACAGTTAAAATCTTCCATACCAGCTCAAGCCATGAACACGTAGTAGCGGCGCACTGTAGCACAGTCTATGGGTAGCGTACGTCAGATACAGATGCAGATGCAGATGCAGTCGTTTCAGAGTTCAAATTAATCACTTTGTTAGGCAGAACTGCAAGTTACTAATTTGCCCCTTCATTTACTTTTCAATTCTTAATTAACTCCAATTTTTGCATGTGTTCTTCCCCTTTGCATGCATTTTGCTTACGCGATTCCTACGCTAATTGCTTGCTATATGGGAATTATGATTTTTTAAAATGATAAATTATCAGAATGTGATTTTTAATGATGATCAAAATATGTTTGATTTATATATGTATATATATATATATATATATGTATATATATA